CGAATTCAAGCCACCTGAAAACTTCTTTAGAATATTTTGCGGATTGCAATGGGGCAGCTGCTGTTATGCAATTTCTGTTCCATCTAATGAAATGCATCTGCATAACAAGAACAAGAGCATATCGGAACAAGACTCATTTACCTACCATTGAAATGCTGTGCACATGCCAAAACGCGAGGAAACAACAGAGCAACAGAGCAAAACAATTGCGGTTGCATTACCCTGGCAGGGAATATGAAATTCAACAAATGCAAAATCAAAAGGCAGCCGAGGACCAACAAAGGACATGCCTCAGGTAACGCACGTTGATGATGGCGGCAACAGCAACAGCAGCGGCGGCAGCAGCGGTGGCATGCCGCCAAAAACTCGCAGGGAAGCGCAGGCGCTGACGAGTGCTGCCCATGATGGTGGTGGTGGTCGTTGTCGTGGTAGTGGTGGTGGTGGTGCACTATTGTTTGTCACATGCTCGTAGCAGAGGGAACGCTCCCCTGCTCCCGAGCCTGGCTCCTGCTCTGGCTGTGATTGTTTTGATGACGATCATGATGTTTTGTTCCTTTTTGCTTGAATTATCCTCGGCGTGCCCATTGTGCGTCTGCAGATGCAAGTCAACGTCCGAGTACAGCATCTCTGCCTCCTTCTCTCCTGCCTCGCTCTTAGGGCTGTGCAAACAGATGCACGTCTTGCCAAAAACCCCTGGCCAAGACGCAGACCTAAACGCTGACGAGACGCGCCAAAGGAGCAGCTGTCAATGCCAAGCCACCAACGCGCCAGCCAACACCCTCAACAGCATTAGCCGAGCAACGGCAACGACATCGGCATCGGCATCGGCATCTCAGCATCCGAATCACCATCGCCCGGTTGACAGAAACTGATTTGTGCTGCCTGCCCGCACGGCGCAGATGCAATCCTTGTGCTGTTTCCTTGGTTTCCCGTTTGCATTGTTGGGCCTGGCCCGACCTGTGTAATGAGTTTTTTTTTGCCTCAACATACTTTTGTTTTGGGTATTTCTCTTTTTTTTTCAGACTACCAAGAGCTCTGATTTGGCCTAAGGTCCTGCTGGTTAGCCTACGGCCGACGAAAGGTGTTAAAAATGCTCTTAATAAGGGCGTAGCACTCGGTTTATACTAGCTTAGTGATTGCATCAGCTGCGCTTCAGTTTGGCGGGATATTTTTTTAGAGAATAATTTGAAGGATTGTAAATTCTTTTTTAACAATGATAATATATACATGCAGGATTTTGTCTTATTTTTTATGATATACTCAATTGTACAAAAATAAAATTATTGTTTTAAAAAACTTTTGACTTTTATGACACATCTTAAAGTAATCTCATCGAGCTTTGTGCTGTTCTCTCTTGGGGTATTTATCTGTTTCTTGCATCTGAAGAGTATTTAAATAGTATTCATTTCAGCTGGCTTATTATTTATATATAATTATAACGTAACTGCTAACACCCTGTTATCTAAAGATTATTTAAGTGAATTGTCTTAATATCAATGAGTCTTTATGTTATTTCCTCTAACTTCTTTAATGTTTCCTGTTTTTCCATTGCATTGTGCCCTTTTACTTCCTGAGGACCTCCTGGTGCATTGCCTAAACCTTAATCGCCGCAACACAATTATAAAATATTTACACACTCCATTTGGGAGACACGTTTAATAGGCTAAACAGCACGCTTAGTATGTGACATAACAGGACATTCTCTACAAAATCAGTTTACTAAAAAACAGATAAAATAGAGGAAAGGTAGCAGACGAAGCGGGAGAGTGAGTTTGCGTTTCAGGATGGCAACGGGAATGCGTTGTCACACAATGCGCTTAATGCCGACGCATTGACAGGATAACGAAGCGTGAATAGGCACGAAACCTGCGCGAATGTGTCCTGGAGTCGGGAGTCAAGGCAGATGGCAAGTGGCAGGTCACAGGACAGAGGAGAAGCTTCTTTGGGGGTTGGCGTTCTTTGCGGGGTCATTCACAATTTGGCGAGAACAATGGGCCACAGGTAGCCGATGAAGATTAAGCGGCACCCGCACATAATCGCGGACAGACAGACAGACATCTCGATGCGGCCAGGTGATCCAACTTTTTGATTTCTTCTGGCTAAGGACATTGATATGCCGCCGGCAGCGGCAGTGGATTCCTGGAAGCAATTCCTTTCGCTGGCTTTTCAAAACATTTACTCCAATGTGTCTGCTCAGTCGGTCTTTTATTATGTCATGAGGTCCTGAGGCCTATTGATTGTGCAATGCACCCGGCTCTAGGCCCGTGGCAGTGATTTTCTTCGTTCCCTACTTCTTTCATTCCATCTTTCAGTTTTTGGCTTCGATTTCGATTTATGGATTGGAAGTTCTTTTGTTTGTGCGAAAACGAAGAAACAGCAACAACAATCGGCAGCAGGTCTGCAGTTGCTCTAAGGATCTGGTCTGGGGGTAGTAATCAACCATTCATTGTCAACGACATCACACATCGTATATCTTGGGCCATAGTTTGTTTTCTTTGGTGGTATTTTTTCAGTTCCCTTCTTTATTTCCAACTACTGCATATATATTTTTGGCAAAAGGTGTGCCAGTGCACCGGGCCAGGCAGCACCCAGATTGAGAGGGAGACAAATAGAAGGAACGCCAAAGATTTGTATAATCTATAAACCAAAAGTCCATAATTTTGATTCAGGCAAATATTAAAAATCTCTCGAACTTGACTGAAGATTGAGATGTTCTAAATAAGCTCTTCACGAAATACATTTTTTAGAAAAAATATGTTCTAGTCTCATGACAAACAGCACAATTTTCCATCTTTTGCTCTGTTTGCGCTCCATTTATCCTGTTCATCTGCTGACCCAGTCTACTCTCTCAACAATACAGACCATCATTCCCTGCTCAATGCATTGTGCATGAACACAAGGTGCAAAAATGGGACGGGCTCATTGTCTGCAAAATATACAACAGGACCAGAAAATCCATGGACGCACCTGCGAATATTCTAACGGAATCAGATAAAGTACCTCGGGCAAAGGGTTTTCCCATCCGCGCTGCCTGAATGAATGGAGTGCGGCTAGTGAAAACATCACGACACCATAATCCCAAGCCAATGCTAATGAGCGGACTAGCCACGACGCAGATCCCAGCAGGTACTTGACAATTGCAGGACGACAAGTGCCAGGAGTCTCAAGAAGTAATTTGGGTTTCTCCGCCTGATGAATGAAGTGGTTTCGAGCGCGGGTTATTTCGCGCTGTCCCGCGGGCAATTCCGCGGCGATATTAGCATAGTGATCATTAGGTAGTTGCCTGGAGATGCCATGGATGGTAATTGTGTGGAATAACACACGTAATAACCGAAATAGCCGGGAACGCCCGTCAGGTAGGACCGGGAGGCATCTTCATCGCTGGGAGAAATTCCCGCGAGGCGGCTTGGCGTGGATTGGCCAATCGCCGCTTGTTTTGCTTGAGTTTCGCTGACTGCGTAATTGGATAAGCTGGGAAATTACTTTAAATCCAATGCTGATCCACATCCGGACGTTTGTGCGTGTATGTGATTGCCTGTCCGGTGCGAAGTGAAGCAACGAGGAAAATCCATCATAGGGAAAATACAAAATGGAAATATGGATTGCTTACTTGCCGCATTTTCCATCACACCCATGGCCAGGCGAGAGTCGAGTCCTGCGATTGGTCAGTCTGGGAACGCGATCGCGTTGGGAATTGGAATTTTAGCACTTGGAAATTTGTACTTTTTGTCATCGCTTGGGTTTATCAAAACTTTTGGGTTTGCTACATTTGCTTTGGTTTTTTTTTTGTGTTCTCACACATTGCCCTGGGAAACTGCAAGGAATGGGGAAATGCGTGCATTTTGGTTTTTTCGATGGCTGGGAAATCAGTTTTCAATGTTTTTGGGAACTTGGCTATGCGGGCTGGACTGTTTTCACTAGGACATGGGCAAAACAAATCTATAGCCTCTCCAGTGTTTGATCATGTGTACAAAGAGTGAAAGAGGGGATGTGGGATAGTTATTTATGTGGTGCGAGGAGGCTCAAGCTCAAGTCAAAAGTGGAATACGCAGAGGAAATTTCATAACAAGATGGAGAAGAACCTGATAGCGCTGCCAAGTAATCGTTAGAGCCTGAGCAATAATAAGTCAGCGAAAAGTGTACCCAAGAGCTAACATATCTTGTGAAGCCTCATATCTATTTAAAGAGCTATACTTAGGTGCGCAATGTCAATTGTAATGCCAGCACAGCTCAGGTTCAATTTGCCTCCCCCCGTTTGAAACACCAGCGCAGTGGCAGATGTCTACCAAAAACTACCCCATTGGAGAGTCCGGGAATCCAATTTGACTGGTGAAAAATGCCAGCGCCTAAAAATAGAAACTCAATGTTCGGAGCTGGCGAAACGAGGCAAATGAAAGCGAAACTCAAATTCCGTAGATTCTAACAATACCTGCAATAGATTGAGTGCTTGCGAACAGGGGAGGAGGCTGGAGTCTTGACGAGTTATTACAGCACGGATGTGCGGGGAAACAGGAGAAGCTCGAGAACCATCGATGAGGTCGAGAGCGCACTGTAAGCGAGAAGCTGTCATAAGTTATTAAGTGGTGATCGTAGCGCCTGCCAGGGAGCTTGGCACATTAACTGCCACCTAAACTGAGGGTGCGCCTGCGTTGGATGCTCAGAGTTTCTGAGTTCCGAGGGACTCTCCGAGTGTTTCCCCGAGAACGCTGTCAGGTAGACAGCGCCAGGTTGAGCGAGCGAGATGGCAAGCAAACGAGAGAACAACAAATGGGAAACACGCAATAAGGGTATGGGAAAAGTGTGCGTGTGTGTGTGTTAGTTGTTGTTGTTAATGCTACCTAGCGAGGTACACGTGCGCCCTGCCTCTGCGTGTGTGTGATGTTGCGCGTATGTGTTAGTGTGTGAACTGATGAAGAACCACCACCAAATGGCCAGACAGCAGGCAGGCAGCAGCAGCCCCGAGAGAGCTGCCGGGCATATAAAAGAGCTCGCTCGGCCCTCGACCTGTCACAGCAACCTCAGCGCTCGTTGAGTAAGCAACACTCTCGACCTCGATCTCGATCTCTCAATCTCTAGTGTATCGGAACTACGCGTTACCAAAACGATCATCAGCTTCAAGGAAAACGTAACCCAGACTCAAAACAAAACTAACGACATGGCCGCCAACTACAAGAGCTGCCCGCTGAAGAAGCGCCCCATCGTCTTTGTGGAGGAGCTGCCGCAAACGGAGGCCTTGGCTTTGACCAAGAGCTCATTGTTTGCACCCGCTCAGCCAATACAGGAGGAGCAGCCACAGGATCTTTCACTCAAGCGCAAGGCCAGCGATATTGATTTAGAGGATTATGAGCTGCCTGCCAAGCGTGAATACGTCTTGAATCTCTCGAAGTCGCCGCTGACACCACGACGTGCCAGTTCGCCGCTCAGCTCCGCACTGCTATCCCCGCCCGCGGAGCCCAGCAACCAGGATTACCAACCTACCGATATACACATGCGCGGACTGACAGCTGCCACCGCCGGCTACACAACGAATCCGTATCAATCGGCCTTTGTGCTGGCCGCTGGCTGCAATCCGATCTCAGCGCTGTGGAGCAGCTACCAGCCACATCTGAATGCCGCCGCGTTTCCATCGCCAGCCAGTTCTTTGGCCTCGCCGCATTCGGTGTACAGCTATCAGCAGATGACGCCACCTTCGAGCCCTGGCTCGGATGCAAGCTCCGAGCCGGAGGATCTCTCCGTGCGCAACGACATTCCGCTGCCAGCGCTGTTCCACCTCTTCGACGAGGCACGCAGCAGCAGCGCCGGTAGCCAAATCAGCAGCAGCAGTAGCATCGCCTCCTACTCATATGCCGCCAGCAGCAGCTCCGGCACAAGTAGCAACAACAACAACAGCAGTGGCTCGGTCGCATCCAAGAACTACCGCTACAAGTGCGACAACTGCCAGAAGATGTACTCGACCTCGATGGGCTTGTCCAAGCATCGCCAGTTCCACTGCCCAGCCGCCGAGTGTAACCAGGAGAAGAAGCAGCATTCGTGCGAGGAGTGCGGCAAGCTCTATACCACAATCGGAGCGCTCAAGATGCATATACGCACCCACACACTGCCCTGTAAGTGCCCCATCTGCGGCAAGGCCTTCTCACGCCCATGGCTGCTGCAGGGTCACATACGCACCCACACTGGCGAGAAGCCGTTCCAGTGCCCCGACTGCCCGCGCTCCTTCGCCGATCGCTCCAATCTGCGCGCTCACCAGCAAACGCACGTAGATGTCAAGAAGTACGCCTGCCAGGTGTGCCACAAGTCTTTCTCGCGCATGTCCCTGCTCAACAAGCACTCCAGCTCCAATTGCACCATTACAATTGTCTAGACTGGCGCTGCTCATCACAGGACCAAGACGAACCAAAGCAGACACAAACACATTCCGCTGGCGAGGATTAAACCCAACCAAACCAAACAGACAATAATCTAGCCCCAACTCATAGTTAACATAAGGTCTTATCGGTTTTGGTGCTATACATTTAGACAGTATAATATATCATATTTATTTCAGTTTTAACACTTGTAGCTCCTAAGTTTTTGTACATTTGCCATTTTATCAGACAGCATTTGACCAAATTTAAGCATTTAGCTATTAACTTTTATTGAACTTGTATAATTTATGAATTATGTTTAGCAAATGTTTATGTTAAGATCTTTTGCTAGTTTTTAAGCCATATATATTTTTATAAAAATAAAACTTAAAACATGACAAAAGAAGTTCCAAACTATTATTTATTTATTTTGCAAACTATTTCCAACTACCACAGACTAATTGTCGAGCACATCTATAGTGAAAATTCTCTTTCTTCCGCTCTTTCGCTCATATTTCAATAGCATTGGGATTTGTACAATATATTTTGCAGCATTTGCCAGTTGTCTTCGATTTCAGTAAACCTGCCCGACTATTTCCTCATTAATAACAATATCAAATTCTGCATAAGCAAAATACACCTTTGGTAAAGGCAAACAATGAGTAGAAGGTTCCACTTTCCCTTTCAAAGGACTTCCTCTTAACCCGCCCCTAATATTTCATCAATCCGTATCACAGAAAATTGCACCTTTGGCAAACGCAAATATTTAATTAGCTGCCACAGGACATTATCGAAGCACATTTCCTGCGTTTTGTGCACGTCCTTTTCTCATTGCAGCAATCCTTTGCCTTAATTGTTTACCGAAAGGATCTCGGCGCATGCGTCCCGTCGCAGGTGATAGACGACGACGGCTGCTTATCGAATACTATTTGAACTAGCTGATTGACATGACAGACGGTAGAATCTACAGTAAACACACAGCACACTCGACACTAGACACTCCACTCTTAACTCTAGACGGTAGTTTTTAGTACATTTAAGCCATATCAACGCCAATGGCTCTTATCTGGGCACATTTGGACAACGCTTGTTGTGTACCTTCTGTTCTGAATGCTCGATAATGCAAATGGCACTAAATCGTTTATAATAATTACCTGTGTCTGTATTGATAAGAAGTGGAACCCAACCATACACAGGTTCCACCAGTCACGTTTCTTCTGGCAGATTACAACTGCAACTGCCAAGCGGCAATCTGAAAGGCATTCCGTTGGGTAGACAACATTAGTGACATTTTGGCGCGATGGCAACACCTTTCGGCCATAAATAAAACATAATAAAAACGCATTCCTAGAACTACACCTTGGCACACAATTCACCCAAAACAAAGGACAATCATTTTTAGTACTATTTTCTTTCTTATTTTCGCGGTAATCAGAGCGCGTCGCTTGTGCAATTGCAAAAAAAAAATAGTAGAAAACTGCAGGAGGGGAGAGGACAGAAATGGGAAAACACCTTGCGCACCTTTAGCACACGGCCAATGCACAGAAGTCAGTTTCTGATTTAAGCATAGCATGATACACTGAAAAAAATGTATACACAAGTCTAAAATCTTAAGAAATGTGGCTCTTCCTTATATAAATATATGTAGATTGTATGCTATACTTTATTTGTTTTTTCCTGAGCTATCAAGTGTGCATTTTAAAATGTTTGATTAATATTGATATATTTGTAATTTCCAGATTTGTAATCTATTTAATTCACTTTTAATCATAGACTTGTTTTCTAAATGTTTCATAAAAATGTTTCACTTAAATGAACATTTATTTTTCCGAGTGTATTATACCTGTCGCCCAGTTGTCTGCCTTGTTGCCGTGTCACCTACTGACCTACAACTGAATGCACAATTCTTTTGGCTTCTGGCCGTATGATCTGTGCCGCCTTTGTTGTCGCATTGTTGAGGCATCCTTTTGCTAGGCTTTGGCTTGCCATTGTCCTGCCGCCGCAAAACTCGTAGCTAATCACTGCTGAGCCATCAGAAGACACAAAAACAGAGACGATCAGCAAATCCTTTGATTGAATGGCCAACAATAACAGCAAGAACAACTACAACAACAACTAGAGCCACCTGAAGCTGCAGCTTTGTGGCGCGGATCCACTTGGATTTAAGTCTCTGCTCCGCAGCAGAGTAGATAACAAATTGCAATTGACAATGCAACCCGAGTCGAGTCAATCGGGAACAAGATGCGATCGAATTTGCAAGCAACATACGAGTCGTTGCCATACAAATCGATGGCTGGCCATGATACAAGTCGCAGCATTTGTAATTGCCGGCATGGAGAGGAGGAGATCGGATGAGGCATTTCGGCATCGGCATCGGGATCGGGATCGGGCCAAAGTCGGGGCAATCAGTGAGCGGCGGCGCATGTCACACAATAACAAAACAAAACAAAAACAAATACAAAAAGCTCATGCAAAACAAACATTAGGAAATGCAATACGAATACGAGTCACAGCCACAGCAGCCACTTAGGCAGTCACTCAGAGGCAGACCGGGCCAGGCCACGCCGGGCTGGAGCTGGAGCTGGGAGTCGTGGTTGTCGTCGTTTAGGACGTCTGAGATTACGACGATTACGTTTTACTCCAAATTTGTATGCTGCCAGAGTTGTAATTGAAAAAGCATCAACATTAATCTTGGTAACTCTCGCGCAAGTCAGCGCCGCGATTCGCATTCGCATTCGCGTTCGCGTTCGATTTCGATTTGGATTCAGATTTCGTAACCCCCCAACGATGGAGATCAGTAGATAAGCCAAACCAGTGAAGCGGGTGTCCCATGTGGGGGCTGCTGCTGCTGCCGATGCCGGTGCTGGTGCTGCCAAATGCCAAATGCGGTCATGTTAAGGCCAAAAACATATTGCTTAATCGCTGCGCGGATGTGGAGCAGCCGATATGATCTGGCCCGCTCGACAAGTGAGAGATGACGATCGTCAACGATCGCATCGCCTAAATCAAATGTCTGTGGAGAAATTGCAGCTGACAGAGCAGCCACGATGCCTGACGGCTCCATGTCGTGGACAACTGTCCCGATATTGCAGCTCATCAGACTCCGGGCATGTAAGCTTTATGGCTTTGGCATATGCAAAATGTGAACGATCGTGGCCAGCATGCGACACCCATGGCCCGCACCGCACCGTCTACATAAAGTACTAGTCGCTGCCAACCTGTCAGTTGATCTTAGCCAGTGCCAGTCAGTCAGCCATTCAGCCAGCCCAGTCAGCCTGGCAGTGTGAGCGACCTTAACTGTAAACTCATCCACAGACCGCATTAGGTTCTAGGCCCAGCTCGATCAAGTTCTGTGCCTCGAGTTACATGACCCAACAACAAGCGTGGCGTTAGTTGTCGCTAAGTGCAAGTCGTTGAGTCAGTCGCAGACTCGTCACAATCCTGGCCCATCAACTTGTTGCCAGCGTCATTCAATAGAGATGAGCCCTCGCACAGTACAGAGCTTTTAACAATTTTTTTACAATGCGGTGTTTATAGTTTACTCTATATTATTATTATTATTATTTTATAATAATAAGCAATCAATTAGGGAATACCTAATTATTCAGACACTAGCAAAAAATATTAGACGACTTTAAATTTAAAAAATATGTCCTATTGTTTTAAACTTAACCAATCTTCTATTATCATATCATATCATGTACGCAGTTCTTCTCCATGAGAGTTGGATAATCTATATAAAAAGCATATCAATATTTTTATAAGTGGATATTATTCCGGATTTTCATATAGGACTACAAAAGGACAGGCTGTCTGAACATATCAATCAACATCAATATATCCCACAGATCTCGTAAAGAGAACATAAATATTATTATAAGGGAATTATAATAAGCTTTAAGGAAGACCCCATTTATAAAAGAGTTTGTGATAAATATTAAAGGTGTTGATGGGAACTTGGCCAAGGCGGGCGCCTTTGCTCATCTCTAGTATTCTCTCAGCGTTCCTTTTTCTCTCCTTCTCTTTCTCTCTTCTCTCTATCTCTCTCTATCTCACACTCTTTCTCTCTCGTAGCTGGTCTGTTAAGGCTATGCATCGTGCCTTTTGCCTTTGCTGTAGATCGCGAAGCGTTGATAAATGTTGTTACTTGTCGTTGCAAGTTGTTGTTGCTGTCGTTGCACATTGTTGTTGTTTCCAGTTGTTGTTATTGTTGCTGCTAGTCACAGTCGTTGCAAACGTCGTCCGATCGATGGGTGGTTATAGTTGACATGTCGTTTTGTGTTTCCTATGCTCATCATCGTCAGGGACGCGCCGGCGACATGATCAATGAGCCAAAGACAACAGTAACCGCAGCAGAGGCTGCGGCAAAGGCAGCCTCAGTTGCCGAAGCAGTTGCAGAGGCGATCGTGGCCTGACTTTGCCACGCTGATTGCCCTTGACAAGTTGGTATTTCTTCAACGGTTAATTGTGGCTATGATTTTTGTCAGCGGCATCTATGGCATCTATTTAATTAGTTTTAGCCGCTCTTTGCTGCCCACCCCAAGCAGCAATTACTTCCTGCTTTGCGGGGTGTAGGCATCTTCTGCTTGATTTGAATTTCATAAAACTCAAAAAACAAATAAATATTGCATAAACTATAGTCAAAGGGGTAGAAAGTAGCGCCCGCTGTCAGTCCCAGCCCAGTCCCAGCATATCCGAATAGTTAATTTGCAGGCAAATCGATTCGATTGCCGCTCCGCGATTGCATCTACTTGACACACATCGCACGCAAATCGATGCGGTAGCATTTACAAAATATCGTATCGCATATGGAGTGCTCGCTTCCAAGCCGATAAAGATGCGATCCGAAGCAGTCATCCAAAAATAACTAGCAATCATGATGAGCGTCAGCCCGGCGACGTGACTCCATAGGCATACAGAAAGCCTACGCCCCCCCTCAAAAAAAAAAAAAAAAGAAAGAGATAAATGATTTATGTATGGCACTTTCTTCATGCAACTGAAAACTGGCCTACCTTTC